CCCCAAAACCCCAAAACCCCAAAACCCCGAGCTATTAAAATAACCACTTGATTTGATTTTCATCTTAGAAATAATTAAAAAGATTAGTTCATATCATAGCATTAACTTTAATCATAAACATATTTACATATCTATTCTTTATTTGAGGTTGCCTCCGTCTATTTTTAATCCAATGGGTTCTAATCCTAAAGGAAAAATGGGCTTGAGGTCAATCTGTACCTATAGTCGTGGTCAAATAGAAATCTTAGTCTTTAGTGTACGTAAATTAATCAAACACGAGTTTAGCTCTCTGAGATTCTGTGAACCTAGTTTAACATGGAGAATCCACAGCTCTCTCATTTAAAAATTATGAGTGTATATTTCTTGTATCTTTGGAGTCGCTGGTCTCTGGTTTGAATACCACTGCCACCTCCTTTCTACTCATAGCATCCCAGTCTAGACCATTGAAAAAAGGGTGTCTTTTAATTTCATCAGCGTCCTATTCTCCGCCTCCAATTCTTTTTTCAGGATTTCTTTACAGGAGTCTTTTAACTAAGTTCTAGAAATCTGCGCTTGCATTTTCTATATCAGAGAAATCTATCTTTTTAGTAGCAATTGTGTACAAAAGTTGCATCTTATTCATGTTTTGGAAGGGTGGTCTACTAGTATACATTTCAAATACAAGAGCCCCGAGACTCCACCAGTCAACTGCGGGACCATGACCTTCTCCCCTTATGATCTCGGGGGCAAGATACTCAGGTGTTCCGCATATGGTAAAGGCTTGATTCTCCTGGTCTCTAAATATCCCTTATTTCGACAGGCCAAAATCTGTCAGTCTCACGTGACCTTCGCTGTCCAGCAGGATATTCTCTGGTTTTAAGTCACGGTAAATAATCCCTGCCTTATGCAAAGACTCAACTGCAAGGACTATTTCAGCAACATGGTACCTGATTCTGTCCTCATTAAATGTTCTTTCTTTATTCAAATGGTAGAAAAGTTCTCCACCATTCATAAAGTCCATTACCATGTATAATTTTTCTTCAGTCTAAAATGCATAATGCATGTTAACCAAGAATGGACTTGTCACATGTTGAAGTATTTGTCTTTCAGCTTTAGTATGCTCAATTTGATTTCTCTTGAGGACATCATGCTTTTTAAGCACTTTCATGGCGAATAGTTGGCCGGACTTCCTCTTCTTAACAAGGAAGACTTTTCCAAATGAGCCTCTGCCGATGACCTTCAGGATCTGGAAATCATCCTTCGAGACGCCCCGATTACCACACTTTGGCTTTAGACTTGATTGGGTTGAATTAGTACTGATAGATTCATCGAAAAATTGACTTTTCTATCTTTAACTGCACAATGCTGTTTTGTTGCCCATCACGTATTATATCTTAATATTTAATATTGAGATAAAAGTAATATTGACATAATCAAGACTGAAAAAGTTTATATAATATCATTTCTTAAACTTTGGTAAGCTAATTAATACATTTAGAATTATCTGATCACCTCAGTCCTAAATGTATGACATCATCGGGGTTTTGGGGTTTTGGGGTTTTGGGGTTTTGGGGTTTTGGGGTTTTGGG